GCTCCATGCAGCCTCTTATCTCGGTGAGGAGGTGCTGTCAGGAAGGAGATAGCAAGAAGTCTGCAGCTATCAGCTCCCAGTGTGCCGTGGGCTGCCAGCATCCCATCCTGGGCCTTCTCTACATTAAACTGACCTTCTGTTCCCTGCCACAGGGAGGCCCAGAACGGAAGGTGTACGACGAGTCTCCTTATCAGTGCCTTGCACACATGCCACACGCACACAGCAGGTACTGATGCCATCAGTGGAGAAGGTCAAAGCGATGGCCCCCAGCAGCTGCTGATACACCCAGGTAGGCAGCAAACCCACCAGAAGCAGGAGGGTTAGAGCCACATGCCCTGCCTCAGCACCACAGCTGTATCACATCTGGAAGCACGCGGCACCTGGAGCCTCTGTGGTCCCAAGTTCATGCCCTGCCATGCCCCAGTCTGCTCTGCAGCATCCTGCTGTGCCTCTGCTGCCTCATCTTCCTGCACAGGGCTGAGCCCTTCTCCTCCGCCAGTGGGGAGCAGGGAGCGCTTGAGGCAGCTGTGCTCCCCCTCTCCTGTGGCAGCTGCTTGGCCAGGCAGGCACCAGAGCACAGCAGAGCTGCCAGGCTCAAGCCAGCAGAGCTCTGGGAAAGGAAGGAATGGGAGGAACAACACTGATACTGGGGCCCTGGACACCTGAAAGATGGAAAACAGACCAGAGTCCTGGCTCTGATAGAGAGGTCAGGGGATTCCCTGGTGAGAGGAGAGTCTGAGGAGCAGGGGATTAGCAACAGGGTTAGACATACTTCTTGCCTCTTGATTTCTATAAAAAAATGATACTATAATGTACTGCAACTACAGTCATAGCAATCAGTTTTTGCTGTTAAATAGTGGAAGACTTGAAGATAATTTGTCCCACTAATCTTAACAGCCTCCCTGACCCATCTGTGCACCCACAGACACGTGCTGGAACCAGCACAAGCTGCTGCGTGAGCCCACGAAGCCAGGCAAGGCACATGCAGCTGCAGACCCAGGCAGGAGGGCTGGCACTCAGGGCAAGCACACAGGACTTCTCAGCTTTATTTCCACGCTCTCAGGAGTCACACGCCCCAAGCATTCCTTCTCATTGCTGGGCTGAACAGGGAGTCCCAGCACCCTTTCAGCAGGGGCCTAAACATTAATGGACAGCAGGGAACTGGCAGGACTGACACACACCACCCAAACTGTAGCCTGAGAGAAAAGCGTTCCCATGCCTTACGCATCAGGAAGTGACATGGCAAGGCCCGTACCTCATCTTTTCAGCACCTGAACAATCTCCTTAGAGCCCAAACAGACCACTGATGTTACCAGAAGCAGGCACTGAATGCTGCTACCATAACCAAGTACCCTGAGAACAAAAAGCAGAGTGCAGCCACTGCGCCAGACTGGGCACTCACCTCTTCTCCTTTACTGAGTCGATCGACTAACATGTGCCTGGAAAGAGAGCAAGGGAAGCTCAGTCACATGCCAGAAGCCAGAACTGGCAGAAGAGCATGAGCTGTCAAGAATGGCCAGATGTCTGAGCCTTAAGGTCAAAAAAAAGGCACCAGCTTCTCTTGCCATAGCTCACTGGGAGCTGCCCCAACAACCACCTTTGGTTGTGAGCAAACACCAAAGATGACCCCCCCAAAGGCTTCTCCCTTGCTGCGCAGGGACGCGTACGTGAGCAAGGCTTGGTGTGCCTACCCAAAGAGAAACCAGTCGTAGGCCACTGTCAGGTAGAGGATCTCGGATGGCTCCAGGGACACGTGGATCAGCCCATCCTGCAAAGCAAATGAGAATGGCCTTCAGGCAGCAGCCCTGGGGATTAGGACTGGGGAATTCATGATCTCCTGAAAACTGTCATAGTGATCCAAGATGTCCAACTTGCTCTACCTGCCTGCAATACCACATCTGATGGCAGGACAGCGTGTTGGGCTCCACATCAAAGTCAATCCACACCCTCTCTGAAGCCAAGATAGTCAAAAGGAACATTAACTGCTCCACTACCACTTCCTGCT